GCCTGAACTCATGAGAAGCTTCTGCTGGCTTGACGACACCCAGGGGACAGATAAACTACCCAATGTGTCACTGGCACTGCAGGATGGGGCGAAGATGGGACCGTCTTTGGTTTATGCCATGAACGGTCTTGGAGAAACTGGGTCAAAGCTTCGGGGCTTCGATCTTAGATGGGAATGAAGTCCGTAAGAGGGCTCGTTTTCAGAGTGTCTCGTATTTCAGAAGTCAGGTCTGCGGCTTGCTCGTCGTCGTAGTCTTATCCCATCTTGGTGCTGTGCATCTCAGTGAAGGGATGGGACCATGGGAGGCCCGGTGGCTTTCAGGTAAATGCTCCGAGATTCTAATCAAAGCCCTGGCACTGGAACTCCAATCCAATTAGAAGGCTTCAAGCACAGCTTCTTGCTGCTCAGCCCAGAATATCAGGCCGGGTGCAGGTCTTGTGGCAGCAGTCGCAGCAACAGCCGCCCAAGTCAGTCCTGAACTGCTGACAGATACCGCGACATCTAGCATGGACTCGGGTCGTCTAAGTATGTCAATTAAGCGCAGCTAGGAGCTCTCAGCGGCATTCTCTGCGACCCTCACATTTCCATTTTCTACTTGCTGTCCGAACTCAGATCTGCCAACGCAGTACTCTGCCCGAAACGGAGGCGACAGCAGCACAACCGTGCCACCTTCACTACATACTACACACCGCAGACTGCAGAAGGAACAGCCAAAACAACAACTGGCGCCCAAACCGGTCAGGCTCCGGCCTAAGATTGCTTAACAGAGACTGAGAGTCTGCTGCATGCCCTCCAAGATCTCATCCAACTCCTCGGTTGGTCTTGTCTTGGCTCTGGCACTGTAGAGGAAGCGCGTGATTTTGCTGACGGTGTCCGGAAAGCCAAGCTGGCTCCCACATCTTCACTACACAAGACGAGGCATCGATGTTGCCTTCTTGGAGCAGTGTAAACGCACAACCCATTTTGCGAGAAAAGTCCTGCTGTCACATAATATCTGTGCTTCAGTACTACGGCGACCGTATATGGCGGGGAACCGGGCTGTGCCATGAAGCCAAACCATGAGCGGCCATCGTGGTCCAACAAGACACTCCCAGTGTGTGGTCGGTCGGGTCAAACTCAGGAGTTTTCGGGATCCAAGGCCTACAGCTCAAGGCCTGGGGTCTATGGGATTTCAAGTTTCAGAGACCTTTTTTGCATCCAGCCTGCAAAGGCTCTCTGAAACCAACAAGAACAAGCCCAGAGAATATCTCGTCCATCCGAGGCACCGGATCACGATAACCCAGCAATTCCTCCTTTGTGCATCACAGTCTTATTCAACAACCTGGCACCAACAGAAGCCGCGAAACCCAATGGAGATATAGATGAAATCGTTTCCCGACATGGATGCATAGCAATCGGAATTGGAAGCAATAATGTTGCGGGTTTGTTACGAGCACAACAACGACGATGATGACGACGACGACAACCACAACAGCAGCAGCAACAACAACAACAGCAACAGCAACGACGACAACAACAAAACAACAACAGCAGCAGCAACAGCAAGAGCCGCAGCAACAACAACCACACCCACACCTAAACCTACACTTACACCCACACCCACACCATCTTTACCAACAGCAACAACAACAACAACGACGCCAACAGCACGGCGGCCGCCGCCGCCACCAGCACCACCAGCACCACCAGCACCACCACCACCGCCACGACCACCACGACCACCACGACCACCACGACCACCACGACCACCACGACCACCACCACGACCACCACCACCACCACGACCACCACCACGACCACCACCACGACCACGACCACCACCACGACCACCACCACGACCACGACGACCACCACCTTACCACCTTACCACCTTACCACCTTACCACCTTACCACGACCACCACCACGACCGACCACGACCACCACCACCACCACCACCACCCACCACCACCACCACCACCACCACCACCACGACCACGACCACGACCACGACCACGACCACGACCACCACGACCACGACCACACCACCACCACCACCAACCACCACCAACACCACCACCACCACCACCACCACCACCACCACCACCACCACCACCACCACCACCACCACCACCACCACCACCACCACCACCACCACCACCACCACCACCACCACCACCACCACCACCACCACCACCACCACCATCCACAACAAGAACAATAACGAAAACAAGAACAATAACAAGAAGAACAGGGACAACGACAAGAACAGGAACAACCACAACCATAACCACAGTAACCACAACGACGACGACGACAACCACGACGAAAGCAACACCGACGACTACCACGACAGCAAGAGCAATAGGAACAACGACAAGAACAACCACCACACCAACAACAACCACAATCACAACCGCGACCATAATCAAAACGACAACCACAACGAGGAAGCTGGAGCGTCTGCCGAAGCGAAGGGTGTGTAGTTGTTGTTTAGGTTCCTGGCATGTTTTGCTTGTTTGTCTTTCACCCAAATTGTTTATCTCATTCGCTGTGTGGTTCTTCTGGTGGACTTATCGCCAATTTCGTTGTTTCAAGGCTGTTGCTGGGAGTCCTCTGTTGTCTGGGCTCGAAACTGCTTCAAGCAAAATCAAAACATGTGGTTTGGGAGGACGTAGACGTCTGACGTTCATTAAATACAGTCCGCAACAGGCAAAGAACAATCAGCTCATTACATAATCCTCATAATCATCGTCGTCATCACCAACAGAGGGCTCATCATCATGTCTTCTCAATCGGCATCATCTTCGTCGCCACTACAAGTACCGGAAGTTCTGGGATCATCAACATCATCAGCATCATGATTATCACCACCATCGTCATAAAACTGTTATCCCTCCCGACCTCTGTACGCAAGCCTCTCAATGTTCCCAAGTCCCCTTCGTACCGTTGGAATCCCTTGAATCCCGTCCTCGGTCAGATGCTCAAAGACCGGCAGTGGTCCTGGATCTGCCGTTTCCAGTTCACAATTCAAAGAATTCCAAGCAGGACATCTGTCTGTAGGTCGGATGGGTCACAGCTTGCCGGACTGGCACAGAATACAAATGGCCCCACACAGCGTCAACCTGCTAAGAAAAAACTCTGCCAGCCCCTAGTTGAGGTCTATTTCAAAAAGTAATCCCACTAGATTGGTAGCAATTTACAATTGCAAGGTCAAAGGATCTGCAGGGTAGGAACGGGCTGCTCCGGGTCAGTTTGCCAAGGTTTCGGCGCTGTACTGGAGGATCGCGGATGTGGGGCTATAGGCTATAGGCATATACTAGATGTTCGGCGGCAAGCCCCAAAACCAAGAGGTTGGGTGGCAAGCCTAACCCTTCCTCCAAAGGGGATGCCGGCACCAGCGAAAGAAGGCTGCGATTACTCTCACTGGCAAGATTATACCCCTACCCATCTGGCTCAAGCGCCTGTGCGGGGCAAGGGCTAGAGGGTTACTGGCCGCAAGTCGACCAATATGCCCGCTCCGGCCTGACGAACCATCGGCGGACATCTCTGAGCCTTTCTTGACATGGAGCTGGAAAAGGAAGGTTTAAACGGTTGAGTTCAGGCAATCATCAGTGCCCTGCGGTTGGTGAATCTCGGGCCTAGGTGCTCGTCCCTGCACTCTCTCTGGCTTCATGTGCTGATCTCTGGGAAGTGTAGTTACTCTGGATCCTGAATTGTTTGGAGATCTGGCATCGGCTCGCGATTCGACCCGGGACTAAACGCATATGTTTGAAGGTTTAAGTTTTTCGCCATCCCGCATGGCAAGGACCAGCCCACATAGCAGGGTGTTGTTGCAGTGAAGAAATTGAAGTGCTTTGTATATATATATATATGCACACACACACACACACACACACACACACACACATCGCTTCGCCTGGGGTCTGGTCCCGGTTCGCCTATCACTTCAGCCGCGCTCCTCGTTCGACAACGCGCAAATTATGTTAAAATTCTCAAAGAAAGGATTCGCAACCCGAAACCTGCTGTAGTTCACCACAATTCCATAGAGCCCTTGACCGGGACTCGTAAACACCAACCAAACCTGATGACCCTCAATGCCTGAACCCTCAACGGGCCGTTTCAACCCGATAACCCTCGAAGCATAAACCTTACAGCCATTCCACCCTGAAAGCCGGTTGTAGTTGCGAGGCCACCATAGGTACATCTACAAGACCATAAGGGAGACGAGCAAACGTTCCCCAAAGTGCCAACGGAAGGAACAAGAACCCTCAAAGTCCGGTGGCTCTTGTCATGTCATGGCCCGTCGCGCCTGAACCATCTGAAGCCAACTCCACGGAATCGTCTGTCAAGGCTCAGGCTTCCGGGTATAGGCGCGGCTCTGCGGCTCTGCGTAGGGCCAGGGTTGTTGTTTAATTAAAACAAATCCCTCTTAGTGGAGCTTCCGTCAGGGTTTCTCTGAAACTAGTGAGGCGAAGATCGCAGAGAGTTTCATGTGGAGAGCGTGTACGGCAGAAGTCGTGAGGTCGGCAAGAGTTGGGGCTACTGGCCAGGCCAGGACTCAGAATTCACGAACTGCTTAGTTTAAGGACTTCATGAACACCTTCCAGAGCGCGGTGTGAGATGCCATGCAGGTATGACTACGTGAATCATGCTAGACTCTGCTAGACTCTACTCACCATGATACCAATGATACCCCATCTGCCACCAGCCAACTCCAAGTCTTCATGAGACTCGTTGCGCGCAACCCGGAATAACAACAACCGGGTGAACTTAGTACGGAATGCAACGCATGCAACAAACACACACACACACACACACACGCGCGTACACACACAGACACGCATGCACAAACAAAAGCCATCCGTCATGCTCGGAAGGCCGTCTTGCACATCGATAACAGCATCCATACTCTCAGAGGAGGGTGCTAGGCTGGATAAACCCGGAACGCTTGCAACTGCAATAGTCTGCAAACCCCACTAGCAGAGTGAGGCCTGCATGACCGTGACACATGCGTTTGTTCTTCACTGAATTCATCAAAACTGCTTGCGGTACGATTGTGCATGTCAGATGGGGCCTGCCCCTAAAGCCCCAACAAGCGAGTTCATCCGAGGTGCCCCGGTGCTTCGCGGGCACCTGGTTCCGCACGACCATGAGGACGCTCCTGCTTCCAAGGCTTGAGTTTCCTCAAACCCAAACCCTGTAACACTTGATATCACGTGCTTATCGGCTCCTTGTATTGTGATGCTGCAATGCTGCTATATTGGTAACCTTATGGACCTACGTTGCAGTCATGAACGGGACTCGGACTTCAAGCTTGATGATTCGCAGTGTCATGTGGCTTTCGCGACTCCCTGAACCCTGGGCCCGACAACTACCATCAGAACGCAAGGAAAATCACAGACCTAGTAGGATTCCGGAGCAGATTTTGGGATGCACTCAACCAGGTCAGTCGAAGGCTCAATCATTCACGCGGCGAATCTTCAGATCTGGCTTTTTTGGCGGCTGGGCCGAATACGTGGGCGATGGATACGAATGCATTGCAGAGCTTAAGCAGTTACTCCTTGTGCTCCATCCTATGAGTGGGCAAGTCCGACAGCCTACAACTCACAAAACGGGCCAAAGGAATATACTCTGGAAATCTAACCTACTGGTCCTTTCTCCGCTGGTGTCGTCGGCGTAATGAATTCCGAACCTGAGCGCTGGCATCAAACACAATGAGCTTGTTATTGGCAACAGTAGCAAACACGACAACCCCAGGATATCAGCTTGGTGGTCAAGAGATTCGACTCCCACAGGGCAGAGGGAGCCCCAAACTCAGAAGGTTGTTCCCGAAGGCTGATGCGGCTTGACTTGCCAGCCGCCCGAACTCTTGTAAGGCTGCAGGTATGGATTCAATGTGAAATGCTGAGACCTATGCTCCTAAACCCAAAGTCGTAACCTTGACCTTTGAACTGAAAAGAAAACCCTCCCGAACCCTACCCTTAAGCCAAACCTGGAAAAGGTAATGAGGTGCACCAAGAGGCTTCAAGAAATGTCCGTGGCTTTCCACACATTTGCGGATCGTCTCGAGCCTCGTTGGCTTCCAACAGCTGAACGGCAGAGAATTCGATCGTCTACCTGTCTACCTGCCTTTGACGGGGATTTGGCAATGTGGCACTGTCCGACACTGTACGTTGTGCTCCCGACACAGTGGTGCGGATATCTTCCTGCTGTCCGCCTCCCAATCATGCTCCCGGTATGGCGTGCATCTTCCGGCTTGGGAGCCTTCCGGTGCTCTTGGACTTGTTCCGCGGTCGGTAAGGCTTGGACACTACTCGTGGTAGCATCTTGGTTCGAATGGTGCTGTGTCGTCGTGGACAAGGAATAAAAGCAATACTTAGTATCTTCATTTGGGTTGAAACGGTGTTGTGTCGTCGTAGACAAGGAATAGAAATCAGTACTCTCAGTACTTAGTACTTCCTAGACGATGTTACGACTCCACTCCGAACAACAGTATACAAACGCTTAGTACAATAACTGGTCGAACCAAGATAATGATATTAAGTATTGCCTAGTGTGCCCTGTCTACGACAACACAAACCCGTTCAAACCAAGATAAAGGTACTAAGTACTGCTGGCCAGCGGTTTGCCCCTCTAGCACAAATTCTCTACTGCCGTCCGGGCGACTTACCCATCTTTCTCGCACCCGTCCACCTGTTTTACAGTCCTTCCCTCCAAGCAGTTTCTGAGCTTTACGACAGCAGTGGCAGCAGGAAAACGATGGTCACGTGGCGTGGCCACCGAGGCCAAAACAAACATTGTCGTCAGAGTCACAACAGTACATACCTGGTTGGACCGTTAAGTAAGATGCAGTTCTACAGCAGCACTAAAGGTTCGCCATAGTCGACATGTCGGTCGTCGTGTCGGTGTTGATACAGGCACTGGGACTCGTCGTCCTCTGAATATCAAGAGCGCGAACGAATTATCCGAAGGCCGTACTGGTACATGTCGCCATGGCAGGGTGCTCGTGACATACTACAGTTAGGGTTTACATAATATACATATATATATATGTATGTATGTATGTATGTATGTACGAATATATACATGATGTCCATATATATATATGTGTGTGTGTGTATATATATATATATATCTGTATATATATATGTATATATAGATACATGATATTCATTTGTTTATTGATACATACATACATACACACCTCGGTGGGTAGGATTATGGCTCATTTACCCTTCGATAAATGTCTTCAGCGTCACGGTGGTGCAGTTCACAATGCTGCGCCCTTCATATACGACGCTGCAGGCGAGCAGCGGCCCTTGTTGAGGATTTTCGAGATCGAACAGGTATCCGATCCTCTCCTTCCGACATTTGGAAAATTCCGGTACTAGGATGGTGGAACCCTGAGTCACCACACCACGGATACAACGAGTGGGGTGTTGAGAAACAGGCATGCGAACTCTACTGCTGCGAACTTCTGCGTGGTCCGTGAGAACTGTGCGACCGAGACACATCCTTTTTCGAATCTGCAGACTGAAACAGCATGGAACCGGCGAAGTAATGTACCAATCCCTCGGGGATTTCAGGGTACAGAGCCCACACAGCACAGTTTGTCCGTGCCTTCAGTTGATAGCTCCGCATGAATGGCGGGAAGGCTGAAACTGGCAACGTTAAAATACTAGCAACATTTTTGGGTTCATCGGACCTCTGAAGCACGCCTGGGATGAAGCCATGCTTCAATGATCTTCGCATATCCTATACTTCGAGGTTGACAGTCTGCGTTCCAGATGTGTAGCCCCCTGACGGTCCTTTAAACTTCTAGGAAAGATCTAGCCTAATCGTGCAGAGGGACAAATGAAATGATGCTAGCTTAAGCAACTGTTAACGGGAAGAAACGGACAAAGGAGCCGGAACCCTGGTCTGTGTTTTGCTACACCTGATGCCCGGGACCAAACAAAACCAAAAAATCTATTTGTTGGAAACGACACATGCCAGGAAAGGAGGCCAAGCATAGCAAACGGAGCAAGAAGCACACTAAAGGCTTATCATGGAGGTGCTTCGAGATGGGAATCCACGGCACCAAAAAGCTTTGGCGCTGGAGCTTTGGAGCACTCCCAAAGCTTTTCTCAGCTCTGCGACAAGCCGGAGCCCGCCCTCAGTTCGGTTTCGACTCGCACAAGGCCGCCAAGGGGTTAGTTGCACAAGGTTTGTGAAGCAAAAGATCGAAAACATGTCATAGCGCAAACTGCAAATCGACATAGTCTTTAACCCCTCCATAACCTCAGTCTTCCTTGAACCTCCAATCTGCCTCAACGCGACGCTTCCTGCTAGCAAAGTACCGGGCGAAACACAACCCTTGCAGATGGTCATGCACATGGCGCAAACGTTGGCAAAGGTTCCCAGGGTCTCAAGGATGCCGCAAACTGCCTGCCTTCCTGCTCTGTGAACGTCAAGTCCACAAACTCACTGCCCCAGAGACGTCTGGAAGCCAAAGGGGGCTCCTCAATTCAATGCCTCCCGACATTCCCCCTACATAGAAGCCCGTTCTGCTAACAAGCAAAGTCAGGATCTGGGAGGGTGCTGTGCACTGTGCACGACCTCTCGAGGTTGCCTTGAAATGGGCAAAGAAGATCTATTGGCGGTTCCGAGTTTTCCGAGAAAGGCAGTGAAGCCATGCACTGGAACGAAGTCGGGCCACCGCTTCTGCAGCGTATGAGTTGCTCAAAGACACGCTCAGGCTGGCACTGCAAAATCGGACGATCCAGGTACGGTCCTGCAGGCGGGTCAATCTTAAATAAGAGCTGGTGGCGGTAGGGCGTCGGAGATAGAATGAACTAGAAACAGTTAGTGCCGACAGAGTTTTGGTGTTCCGGCCCGCAAGTAGGAACTTCACGCAGCCGCACGATAAATTTATTATCATGTGCCGGGAGCCACCAATTGCAGCAGTCTTCCACTGCAAAACAAAAACCTCAGGAAGAATCAGCCATACACTCTGCAGGAAGAACTTGAAGATTTCGTGTGGCCTCGACAGCTTAGAGAGCCTCAAATGGGTTCCTGAGGTTCAACTGCGCGGCTGATACCTGTGGTGTGTAAAAGGAATCGGAATCTACAAGCAGTAAGCTCTGTCTCCCTACAGTAGGCCCAGGGCCGGAACAGTTGTGGGCTTCGAGATGCAATCCAAAGCACTTTCCAAACCCTACTCTGGCTCTCATGATGCTCGAGCCGTGGCTGCGGTGCCCGAATCAGCAGGGTAGCTGATGCTCGTAATGCTCTCGTTTGGGCGTGGTGTTGCTGGTGCTCAGCTTGGCCACCGCGGAACACAGTCGGTGGTGTTCGTGGCCTTCTCTTCATGACCCCAAGCCCAGCTGATGCTCATGATATCTCATGATGCTCGAGCCGTGGCCGCGATGCTCCCAAACGAGCAGGCCAGCTGATGCTCACAATGCTCGAGCCGGGCCGCGGTGCACCAAACAGCAGGGCTGTCAGCCGATGCCAGTGATGCTCTCGCACACTTTCATCCGAGAAGCAGGCACGGAGACATGCCGGCAAAGTGCTGACTAGTGTGGGTCGTGAAGCATCGTGCCCGAACCGTTGCCACGGATTCATTCAACCATTCACGGTACAATGGCTTCTTGGTAAGCTTGAGAGGTCGTGCTTAAACGGATATCATTCCACGTTTTCCGATGTTGCAGTTGGCGAGGTGAGATTCAGCCTGAGGCTTGTTCGATTGTGAAGCCAATATGAATCATTTTCTCACCATGGTGAAATGAGTCAGCGTCCGTGGGAATAGGCCCAGGCAGGACCAGCTGATGCTCATGTGTGATGCCCCAAACACCAGGACTTGCTGATACTCGTCATGCTCTCGTCGTGCAATTTGTGCTGGTGCTCTGGGTCTTGCTCTTGCTGTATGCCAGGCCAGGACCAGCTGATGCGCATGATGCTTGAGCCGCGCACGTGATGCCCCAAACACCTCTCGTCGTGGATTTGGTGTTGCTGCTGCTCTGGGTCTAGATGCCCCGCCACGGACGATGCTCTTGCCGTGCGCCTGGCCACAAAAGGACCCACTCTGATGACCCCAGGTCAGGACCAGCTGATGCGCATGATGCTGAGCCGCGCACGTGATGCCCCAAACACCAGGACCAGCTGATGCCCGTGATGCTCTCGTCGCGGATTTCGTGCTAGTGCTCTAGGTCTTGCTCTTACTGCATGTCTGGCCACCGCAGCACCCAGTCTTGATGACCCCCAGGCCAGGACCAGCTGATGCTCATGATGCTTGAGCCGCGCACGTGATGCCCCAAACACCAGGACTAGCTGATGCTCGTGATGCTCTCGTCGTGGATTTGGTGCTGGTGCTCTGGGTCTTGCTCTTGCTGTATGCTGGCCACCGCCGCACCCACTCTTGATGACCCCAGGCCAGGACCAGCTGATGCTCATGATGCTTGAGCCGCGCACGTGATGCCACAAACACCAGGACTAGCTGATGCTCGCGATGCTCTCGTCGTGGATTTGGTGCTGGTGCTCTGGGTCTTGCTCTTGCTGTATGCTGGCCACCGCAGCACCCACTCTTGATGACCCCAGGCCAGGACCAGCTGATGCCCGTGATGCTCTCGTCGCGGATTTCGTGCTAGTGCTCTAGGTCTTGCTCTTACTGCATGTCTGGCCACCGCAGCACCCAGTCTTGATGACCCCCAGGCCAGGACCAGCTGATGCTCATGATGCTTGAGCCGCGCACGTGATGCCCCAAACACCAGGACTAGCTGATGCTCGTGATGCTCTCGTCGTGGATTTCGTGCTAGTGCTCTACTGGTAGGTCTTGCTCTTGCTGCATGCTGGCCACCGCAGTCTTGATGACCCCAGGCCAGGACCAGCTGATGCTCATGATGCTTGAGCCGCGCACGTGATGCCCCAAGCACCAGGACTAGTTGATGCTCGTGATGCTCTCGTCGTGGATTTGGTGCTGGTGCTCTGGGTCTTGCTCTTGCTGTATGCTGGCCACCGCAGCACCTTCTCTTAATGACCCCAGGCCAGGACCAGCTGATGCTCATGATGCTTGAGCCGCGCACGTGATGCCCTAAACACCAGGACTAGCTGATGCTCGTGATGCTCTCGTCGTGGATTTGGTGCTGGTGCTCTAGGTCTTGCTCTTGCTGTATGCTGGCCACGCAGCACCCACTCTTGATGACCCCAGGCCAGGACCAGCTGATGCTCATGATGCTTGAGCCGCGCACGTGATGCCCCAAACACCAGGACTAGCTGATGCTCGTGATGCTCTCGTCGTGGATTTCGTGCTAGTGCTCTACTGGTAGGTCTTGCTCTTGCTGCATGCTGGCCACCGCAGTCTTGATGACCCCAGGCCAGGACCAGCTGATGCTCATGATGCTTGAGCCGCGCACGTGATGCCCCAAGCACCAGGACTAGTTGATGCTCGTGATGCTCTCGTCGTGGATTTGGTGCTGGTGCTCTGGGTCTTGCTCTTGCTGTATGCTGGCCACCGCAGCACTTTCTCTTAATGACCCCAGGCCAGGACCAGCTGATGCTCATGATGCTTGAGCCGCGCACGTGATGCCCCAAACACCAGGACTAGCTGATGCTCGTGATGCTCTCGTCGTGGATTTGGTGCTGGTGCTCTGGGTCTTGCTCTTGCTGTATGCTGGCCACCGCAGCACCCACTCTTGATGACCCCAGGCCAGGACCAGCTGATGCTCATGATGCTTGAGCCGCGCACGTGATGCCACATGCTCTCGTCGTGGATTTGGTGCTGGTGCTCTGGGCCTTGCTCTTGCTGTATGCTGGCCACCGCAGCACCCACTCTTGATGACCCCAGGCCAGGACCAGCTGATGCTCATGATGCTTGAGCCGCGCACGTGATGCCACAAACACCAGGACTAGCTGATGCTCGTGATGCTCTGGTCGTGGATTTGGTGCTGGTGCTCTGGGTCTTGCTCTTGTTGCATGCTGGCCACCGCAGCACCCACTCTTGATGACCCCAGGCCAGGACCAGCTGATGCTCATGATGCTTGAGCCGCGCAAGTGATGCCCCAAACACCAGGACTAGCTAATGCTCGTGATGCTCTCGTCGTGGATTTGGTGCTGGTGCTCTGGGTCTTGCTCTTGCTGTATGCTGGCCACCGCAGCACCCACTCTTGATGACCCCAGGCCAGGACCAGCTGATGCTCATGATGCTTGAGCCGCGCACGTGATGCCCCAAACACCAGGACTAGCTGATGCTCGTGATGCTCTCGTCGTGGATTTCGTGCTAGTGCTCTACTGGTAGGTCTTGCTCTTGCTGTATGCTGGCCACCGCAGCACCCACTCTTGATGACCCCAGGCCAGGACCAGCTGATGCTCATGATGCTTGAGC